TTTGATATATGTAAAAGACTTTTTCATCCTTATATTTAAAATAGGAAATTCATTAGGATAAGGTTGTTTTATCCAAGAATGAAAATAAAATGGTTGAAGGTTAAACTTTTTAAAATTAACAAAACAACGTTATCCTAATGAATTTAATGTTTTAAATATAGAGATGAAAAATTCATGTTTACTACCATAATACTAATCTAGGTATTATTCTTCATTTCTATCACTTGATGTATTATTCATTTTTCAAACCTTTTTTCTTCAACAATTTATTTTTTCAAGTAATCTTTTATTTTATCTATTCATCAATTGATTTGTTCTTTCATTTTATAAACTTTATTATTCAATAAGATCATTTTTCAGATTTTAACTTCAATAAATTTTTAAAAATTTTATTGTCATTGTGCAACGCGCGATGTCAAACACTAGTAATCCATAAAAGCGTTACCACAAATCGATCTTTCCCTTCCAATCAATTCGTCTCCCGCCACCAGCAATTCGAAGGCGATAGAAGATCTGGTGGCTCGGATCTGTGACGCATGCAAAAATTTGGGATTCTTTCAAGTGATCAACCATGGAGGTCCAATCGAGAGCCGTGAAAAGCTAATGTCGGCGGCTAAGCGGTTTTTCCATGAGACGGCGGAGGAGAAACGGAAGGTGAGAAGAGATGAAGCTAATTCGTTAGGCTACTATGATACGAACATACCAAATATGTAAGGAATTGGGAGGAAGTTTTTGATTTGACGGTGGATATTTCGACGATGATTCCGGCTTCTCATGAACAATCCACCAAGTATTCCAATCAATGGTCTCAGAATCCTCCAGAATCAAGGTATTTCTTGTTTATTTTTATTATAAACTGATAAAATTGTTAGAAAGTAGGGAAGTAGAAGTAGAATTAGTGCAGCAAATCAAGTGATTAAGACGTAAAATTCACCGTCCTTAAGGATATTAATAGCCCCCACTAGCAAGGTTGTTTGGGTTATAGGTACTTGCGGCTTAATTAGATTTATTGGTCTATTTGGTTTATTCGCATAGCTCATTTGAGTTGTTTACTTACGGCTTATTCACACAGAACATGGCTTAATCGCACATATAGAAATGGTGTGTTGTCCTCGTTCAGCCACAAAAACGACACCCCTACCCCTTATTTAAAGCACTTCGCACCTCTCCTTTCCATACGAGACATCCCATCTTCGGCCTCTTTATGATTTTTTGTTTTGATGTTCAAAATCGGGACATTATCAAGCATTGACTAAACTCAAAGAACTTAAACGTGATAAACTTATCTGCCCCTTGCTTCTCCGTATTGTATTTGAACTCCAAAGAACTCCATATCTCTTTAG